GGCACATACTGTACAACTACCAAAAAACACTGGGGTATTTCTCCTGCAGCCAAAGAGACATAACTATAGTATATGAATCCAGAGTTGACTCAACAGCAAGAGGCCACTGCTATGAAATCAGCTTGGACAGAGGAGTAATCTCTTGTGTGCCGAGGCATTTGTGAATTATCCATTGGGCTCAGCGTGGGAGTTCCTTCCTGGAATTCGTATATCAAGGTAACATGTTCAAAACAGAACCGATTCCATTCCTTCAACATGCCTGTGTACAACGTGCCTGTTAGACCGCGGGACTATTCTGGCCAATTATCCGAACTGTTTCCATGGCAGCAATTTTCACTTTTGTAAAGTGGTGACCAGAATTTTATATAAACAGATGATTCTACCAAGAAACCCTACTTGTGAGGGTGGGCATTTCACCCTGATATGGCATTCTTCACAGAACTCCTTGAATAGTTCTGCATTACTTACCATTAGAACTATGGGAGATTTCTAAATTAACATACATTCATCCATTTTCTAGCTGCTTTATCCAATACAGAGTTGTGGGGGAGCTAGAGTCTTTCCTGGCAAGCATCGGGCGCACGGTGGAATGTAACCCATAGACACAAACATGCACATACTCACAGCAGGGCCAAATTATCTGGAAGTCAATTAACCCACTAATATGTCTTTGGACTGTGGGAGGAAACTGGAGCACCCGGAGGAAACCCATGCAAACCAGGGTAGAACATACAAACTTCATTCAGAGAGCACCCCAGGAATTGAGCCCAGGGCCCCTGTATTGAGATGCAATGCTAGTCACTACACTACGATGCCGTTACTCTAAGTGCCATTATTAATTTGTCTTGTATGTGCAGGAGCAGGGTCCGCCTTATCACACTATTCAGTTTAGGAGCCTTTTGGCTAATGTGGTAACAAGGTCGATACAACCATTTAACTGGCCGGACTGCCAGCTCCGATATTTTGAAAGCCTGTTTAAGAACTGGGTAGCTGCGTCAGCATGCGTAGGCTGCAAAGGAACAAGTAATAGGTTTACACATTTTCTTTCTGGGGTTAAACAGGTGCTTAACTATTGTTCACATGTTTGATTAAATCCTGTTTCTAGTTCCTATTAAACAGCATTTGTGTTACTTTTAACTTTCTTTAATAAACGGTTTTACACTAAACGTTTTATGTAACGTCATCATTACAACGACCTTTATAGTGAGATGGGACAAATGCAAAAGCAATAAAAACAAGAAGAATTCAATTATTTCTCCCAATCATGCCCCTCCAGATCTCTCCATTATTCCCCACGTGAGTGTTGAAATCTCCTGGCAGGACTAGAGAGTTGGTACTTTATCGAGTACTGCATCCACCATCTCTAAGAAGGCCAAATACCAGAACAGTTGTTATGTGCATAAGCACAAACAACAGTTGGTGTTTTCCTCACTACAACTTGTAGTACAAGCTGAAGTCACATTGAGGTGACCCTCTCATCCAGTGGGACAAATTCCAGTTGTGGAGCACCCAGCCAAGGACTCATGAGTATCCCAACAATCGCCATGCTGGATTCCAGCTCTGGAGGACTGGAAATTTTGAATTATCAATTTATTGGTTGATTTATTGATGTGTTCATTGACTAGCTCATTGAACCATTGACTTAACTTGGAAATCTGCTCCAAAGCTCCCTGGGGTACTCGAGCCCCTCCACCACAACAAGGTCACGAACTAAGAAAAGGCTGACAAGTTTCAATTACTCAAAATGGTCTTTTTAATTGATATTGCTAGCTACATATCAGAGCAGTTTCCATTTTTAACAATATCAGAATACAAAGTAGAGCATTAACCTACTGCTTTATTCCTCAGTCAGATACAGAAACATGCTATAAATTCATTAAATACCTCCAAAGCCAATGTTAAGCAAAAGACTGCTGAGTTTGACGTGTGTAAAAGTGTGGATTAACCTCCCTTGTACCACTGGGTTGCTCTGGCAGTGTCTGGGTAGTAAGATTAAAAAAAAAAACAGCTTCCAAAGAATGAAACTTTTGAGTTACTTCAAAACATCAAAGCTTTCATGCCTCTGTCATTCTTCAAAATCACTGAAGAATGATGAAGTCAAAAGCACTGACTTTCCTCTGATGTCCATAACCCCCATTTCTTATCTGTCATAAAACTGGGGAACTGTTACCGTGAGAACAGAGATCTGTGGGGAAAAAGAAGAAAAGAAAGTGTTTAGAGAAAGATGTAGACAAATGTTCTTCAATGGCAGCCTTATTCGATAAAAAGGAGTACAAGAAAACACTGAAAAGATCTTTTGTGCATACATTTTGAACAATATGCAGAGCAAAAGCATGGAGCTCTACATCCAATTTACTCTTGGCATCTTCCCACACACAAAAATTCTGCTGTCATTTTTGTTTTTTGAAACAGCTTTCTCCTGGGGAAGTGCAGTACAGAGTATTTCCATTTCACCTCTGTTCTTAAAGGGATGAATTTGAGCTAATCATTACCCTAAATAGGGCAATTTAACATTTTTCAAAGTTTTCAGCTGTTGATTATTTAAAGAGACCTAGAAAACATGCTGAATTCCAGCTCTGGAGGACTGGAAATTTCTAATTATTAATTTATTGGTTGATTTATTGATATATTTAATTGACTAGCTCATTGATTCAATTGATTCAACTTGGAAATCTGCTGCGCTAGTGGGTAGTATTGTATTTTCATCCGTACTCATGATGATGCTGTGCATTCAGCTCAGGATAGCAATTGGCTAAATTATATGATCTTTCACTGTATTAAAAAAGATTGATATTTGTTATCCACTAAATGAAAAGCAATTGGTCAGAATAATATGGATCCTGTAAGAGAGGCAAAAAATGCTAATAGTGTGAGGGCTGTAATAGCACTTTTTATTGCTTGGTCACATCTATTGTTTCATATTCCCCATTGAATTCCTGTCACTTAAAATCTCATTTTTGAACATATCAATCCCAAAATATTAAAATATTTAAAAAAGAATATACATTAAAAAATCTTAGAAACAAAAATGAACTCAGAATGCCCTTACTGGAAAGAAATGTTAAAATATCTGAGAATCTATGGCATTGTAGTGTTTTCATGGCATAGTACATAATTTAAAAATATGAATAAAATGTACCGAATTATTTCTGATTTGTCACCATATGTAATGATATTTAATTTTTTGTTGTGAAAATTAACTTAATGGAAGTAGTAATATACACTATATATGACTAACGGGCGGAGCGGTGGCGCTGTATATGGCTAATAAAGTGATCTTATTTTAATTTCACTATTTTTTGTTTCTTCTAAAATGATTTGAAATATCAGCCTAGCACTGGTTTGACTATGTCCAAATCAGCTACCAAGATATGACACTACCCATAATGTTGTAAACATGCTGTAGGAGTGAAACAAAAACTATATTTTCCTATGCAACTAAAACAATTTTTAATTCTTGAAAATACGTTATAAGATTCCCTCTCTTATGGGTCAAAGTTATTATTTAACACGGTCCTTTTGTGCCACCTAGTGTCCTTTTCTTGTAAACAAGCACATGTACATACAGTATGTCTTTTTGTAGCGGACTGTCAGGTAAATAGATCAAGTTTAATGAAAAGCCTGATTTGTTATTTAACTTTTAAAAATCTGCTTGAAAGGAAAACTAAAGCACTTTTGGACAGGAACATAATGTTCAATATAGACACAGAATAATGTTGGCTTTGTGTCTGATTTTAGAAAAGCTGAGTGGGACCCAGACTCCTACCACAAAAAAAAATAGTTTTTGACTCATGGCTATTTAATACAGATTATAGGACAGAACATGGAAAACAAGACTGACCACACAATAGGAAATATGCACAGAACATTAATTCAAGCACAATCCAAGCACAAAACCTTTCCCTATCCTCTCTGCAAATGTGATTATGAGAGCTCTTTCTGTATTTTCTTCTAGCAACAGGCAATACTGGCCATACCTATATGTAGCCTAGGACCAGAAATGAGTTTTACAGTCTTTGACTAATGCTATTTTACACAATTATTGGGCTCTACTGCTATGCCAGTATTGTAGTGGGTAAGTATATTGACTTATAACTGGTGAGGTACTTTACTCCAGTTGGTCTGGCACTGGGGGACCAATATTGCTGGGGCCAGGCTCTGTGGTGGACTGGTGTCCTATCCAGTGAGGGGAGTCTTCTGCTTTCTGTTCATTTAAAACCATTTCACTAGGAACTACAACATAATAATATTTTCAGTTAGTTATAGTTTTAAGCAATACTTTTAATCTCTATCTTATCTTTATACTCAATCATTAAATATATATCATAGTAGATATAGAATCATAGTAGATGGAAGATGCAACCTTTTATTTCTGCTCTTCAGAGCGTAATACTAGGCGATTTTTAATTTCTGGATTCTAGCAACAATTTCTGCGTGCCTTCGGAATCGAAATTTGGTCCTTAGAGAGCAAAGACCTGCTGAGCACTCCAATATAACTTTGGATAATCAGGCTGAATATGTTTCCATCTGTATTGCACTTCTGCCTTTATATTTAATAATTTATTAAATTATTTATTTAACGGGATTACATCGTTAACGGTTATGGATCAATGCTGCGATACTACATCATTTTACAGTATTTACAGTACTAGCAATGATATGTACCTCAGAGCATATATAATGTTGTCACAGAACATAAGTACAGAATTAAACATTGATTCAATCAGTGGTTACTGTACAATACCCAGTATTGTGTCGGCAACATTCACTCCCCTCGACCTTCGATAACTACTGTTTGTATATCTAAAATTAGTACAGATATCACTTTCTTTGTTCCATTATGTGCTTCTTGTTAGGTGTAAAAAAATACCACTGGCCAGCCAACAGGAACTGTAGTGTGGGGTACATTTCACGTTGCAAATATAATTAAAACCACCAATCGCTGAAGAGAACCAAGAGTACATCAAACACAGGATCAGCTGCTAACGGTTTATTATGGACTTTGATGGCCACCGTCAATCTCTCAATACTGCTATTCTTAAAAATCACTTACGCAGTTTTGCTTTTTTATATCGACTTTCGAATCCGTTTAACGCATTAGCTTTTAATCTGCGTAAAAAAAACATTTGTTGTTAGAGGATAAATGAAGTTTACAATGTAGCACTTGCCTCGGTAAAGAGGGGGAAAACTTGGAATCTTCCGTATTTTGTTCTAAATTGGAAGTAGATCTTTTTATTTCCTACGTTTAATTTTGATTGATACGAAACGTGTTTTAAATCATTTGGCATTTTTACGTTGAAGACGTTCAGGTAGTGTTGGCGACCACGATTTCATTTGTGACTTCGTTATTAGGTTCTTCTCTGCTTTGTTCTTCGGAATACAAAGGAGAGTCATTGACATCTTGAACATTGCGAATGATGCTCAATTTTATCCCGGGCTCGGTTTTCGATGCTGGGAAGGAGTTTTTTCAGGGGTCGGGGTTTTCGGACTTCAGTCAACAGCTCACCCGTTCCCATTTTTTAACGCTGGTGTCTTTGCTGCTGGGGGGTGTGGTTTTCTTTGTTATTGTTTTCCTGAGAAAAAGAGGCCAGCGTGGACCTTTGACCACCTCACCCGGAGACTACAGCACGGGCTTCCCTTTAGACCTGGTCTTGCACAGAAAACCTGTCTCTGGCCTGAACACCAAGAAGAACAGACCTCATGAGGACCTCGCGAAGAAAAAAAGAAGAGAGAAAGATAAGGTATGTTGGAAGTTCCTATCCTTACATTTACTACTGTTATTGTTCTTATTATTCGTGTTTTTTTAGGTTTATGGTGATATTTTTTTCATGCAATTGAGTGCTTTTGCTTGCTGGTAAATAAGTGTTTAGAAGTCTGCTTCTTCGGATGTGAGCGGAGGTGAAAACGGTAAGTCCTGCAGGTTTGAAGAGCTTCATTGTCTGAACTGGCGTTGAGGACTTGACGAGCTGTCTAGGAGGGGAATGCCGACAAATTATTTTGTGTTATGTCAGGCGAACGCAGGGACATGTTTCGCAAATAAATTGATGGAGAGATTTCGTTAAATGCACATGTTGGTGTGTGTTCAAGAGATTAGAATGAGATTTTAAACAAAGTGCACCCATTGTTACTTTTGTGCAAAAGTGTCTCACACATGCTACAGTACAGCTAGACGGAACAGGGTCAGCTTGTAGTAATGAAAACGTCCACTCTGATCACCCACATACTTAAATTAGATATTTTATTTGGCCTATTTTTACAAAAGTGCATGTTTAACGGTGAAAAATGACTTTCTCAGTGGATTGTAGTGTCATATAATTTGCTTTAAGAGTCGGTGTAGTTCCTTGAATTTATATAGTATTTTACATCCTAAAGGATCCAAAGTGCTTTAGATAATAGTGGGGTTCTATTTCATCTTCTGCTGGAGTGCAGCACCCCTGTGGATGCCATGTGGCAGCCATTGTGCATTCATATTCCCAGGTCACAGCAGATCAGATGGAGAAATTAAACTTCGCTTCACAAGTTTAATTGAGCGAGCTTCAGGGAAAGAATTTTGCCTGGACACTGGGGTTGACATCCATGCTTGATCTTAAGTGATCAGAAACCCAGTTTAGCACCTCTGTAAGCCATGTCTGGTCACCATTTTGGGACATTGGCATACTGTGAAACTTTGGTCCAGAGGCAAGAGCACCACCTACTGGTCTACAAACACCACTTACATCAGCAATGTACGTTTTTCCTCGGAGGTCTCCTGTCCCATATTCATTTTAATGTAATGATAATAATACAGAGACACCTTTTCCCATATAGACACACACTTTATCCAATGCCTTTAGTAATTGGATGAGCCATTCAGCCCAAACCTTTAATTTGCTGCTAGACTTTATGCAGTTATTTGTCAAGAATCACTGTGAATTAGTTTTCACAGTTTAGTTAAATAATTTCGAGCTGCTTCGAAAGGAAGAGATTCTCATTATCTGTGCTTCCCTTTCATTATATCCTTTTGTCTCTGGTCACGTGGTTTGGAGTGAACGTACAGTAACAATGCATAATAATGCATTAAATTAGTTACATATGAGAGGAGGCCTTTTGGCATGATGAGCCCGTTAAGTAGTTAATTGCTAATTGCTCCATTTCTTTAAAGAAACTAGAGGTTGGGTTCAACATGTTTGGGTACCTTGTTTCATGCTCCAACAATCCTTTGTGTAAAGGTGTGCATCCTGTTATAAGATTTAAACACACTAATGCCTTTTCCAATTCTGACTCCTCCCAGATGTTACACTGATGATACTGAACCAGATTACTGGGTGGACACTGTCAGTGCTTTTGAGAATGGTAAATATTTAGATCAGTAGTCTTCTCTGTTTAACAATAAAAAATGTATCTGGCTGCTCATCTCTGCATTGATCTTTTTTTGTAATATGGTGGCGAAAATGGTTCATAGTATTTTTAATGAGGCTTTAATATTGTGTTATAAGCCTACAATGTTAGCATAACAGTTCTCTGTTAAATTCTATGCTTTTAACTACAGTACATATCCTAATGTTCTGTTTGCCTTTTTATTTATGTCCCACATTGTCCAGAAGTAAAATGTTGACTTGGGATTTGATTTGAATAGTCAGTAGATCTCAATCAGTAGGTCAGCTGTAAGCTTTTAGAGTTATGCCCACCAGTGTGAAAAATCAACACCCTCACACAGTATCTCTCTTCTGAAAAAGGATTACAGTGGATCTGCGATTAATCTCTAAACACATAAATATAAACTCAGAATTACTGTCCATTTGACCTTCCAACACCCCACCAGTCATTACTGATAAGGACAGAAGGCTGATTTTGATATTGTTTTAAAGTTTATGAAAAGCGCTGTCGGACTATTTTAGAGTTCCTTGGATGTTTATCATTTTCACGTATATTATGGATTAGACTTTCTTTGCATCCGTTGATGGTTTTATGTTGTCTGCCAACAGAAACTTGAATAAAAGGTGTTGGGTCAGCGGTATCTTTCTGTCGAGCAGTGCCTGTGAATGCGAGGTGCACTTTTTAACCTGCTGTTTTTCTTTGTTGCCACTGTTCCAGACAGGGTTACATTGTAATTAACATGACTTTATTTTTTAAAGCTATTGTGTATGGGAACCATTGTATTGTACCTAAATGCCAGCATATTATATGGAAGATTTTAATAATAATAATGTCAGAATTGTGAAATGGATCTGAGACTCTGAATGCATCAGCCATGCCACCAAATGACATGTGAATTAAACTGGATTTAAGTTTACAGGACACCTGGAGTGTAATGTACTGAGTATTTCAATAAAATATGCAACTAAAGCCCTTTTTCCCCCAATATAAATCTCCTGCTGTTGTTGTCAAGGGACATTAAGGCTTAAGCCTTTTGCTTTAATGGTTCTCAGACGGCGCTCCAAGTAGTATGACATCACAATGTCAGATAATCTTGCTTTCACATTGGTAGTGTATAGCAAGAGTGTACATTCATTTTCAGAGGCAATTACTTTGTCATTATGAAAAGAAGACAAAATAATGGGGTACTCACATTAAACAAATGAAGTTGAATGGTTCAAATGTAGGTGTATGTTTTATCATTTATTATTGTATCTGTTATTAGTAATCTTGTGAGTTGGTGTATGAATGTGCAGGTTGGTGATTTTATTATTCTTCATTTTGTGGCTATAGAGGTGTGACTCAAATAGACAACCTATGCTGTACAAAGACAGAAAGACAATATGCACATCCAAGCAGAGTGGAGACCACATTGCTCCTCAAACTACCAGGCTGGAAATTTTACAATTTAGCTACATTTCTAATTTCAGATGAAGACCAGCAGCTCACTATACTTAAAAAAGGTTTATCTAAATTAAAAAGAAGAAAAGAAACATACAGTAGCAGAATAGGTAGATGGTGAGAGTGATGAGCATTTTTACAACCAACTGTGTTATCCATACTTGATCTCAGCACATACACATCAGGGTTACAGTGCAGTTTACCAAGTATGCATAGTTTTTACAGGTTTCTCAGAAGAAAAAGCTTAAGCCAGGTGATAACCTCCCACAGGTGACACAATGAGGCACGCTAAATTTAGCCTTCCACCTAGCTATCTAACGGCTAGATTACTGATTGCTGTACTAGTGTGTAAGCTAACTTTGCTATCTTATTATTGTAATAAGATATTATCCTCAACAAGACATTATTTGACTACGTCAACTAGTTTGATTATATAGGATTAATCAAAGCTGTAGGCTACCCATGGTGCTGGTTGAGGAAGAGCTTTGCTTTTTGCTATTTTCTATCTGCATCAAGCCACCTTTGTGTTCTTTTTGGTATTGAGGTGCCGTTCGTTATTTTGTGCTCATCGAGGAAATGTTTTTTTCTACTTTGAAAGTGAAGTGGCTTCCATTCCCCGTATTATTCTTTAGAAATGATGTTTCTCAGCAACTTTTGTAAGGGACACAGGATTTGTCTGTGACCCAGTTAATCGGTAGCAAGGAAATACTGTGTGTTTTTTCTACATGAATTTCTAACATACAGTAACTCTCAAGGGTTCAAAACCTAATATCTGAGCTTTTCTCGAAAATTGCAAATGCATTCATTTATTCACATACAAAACACATTGGTTAATTAATGGAATCATGAGTCTTTGCAACAATTTCAAAATTTTTGTTTTTTCATTAATTTTTAAAGTAATTTTTCAATTCAATACCATTTACCTGAGACTTGAGACCTATGTGATTATACAGCATTGCAGCTGCTGGATGGCAAATGATCTGCGAAACAGTATTTCTGTCTGGATTCCTGTGTACAGTTTGTCTGCATTCATGCATTTGTTTGGCCAGGGTGCTCCAATTTTTAACCAAATGTGGGCCACCAGGCCTGCATACAGTACAACTTGCTGAAACTGTGTGGTTTCTGCTATCTATCTTTATAAGCCTGTTTGTTCTGAGGACGATCCACCGTGTGTTTTCTGTACTGTCTCTCTCTAAGACATTTAAGAGTATCTTTTATAATCTCTAGGAACCAGCAAATGGACAGCCACCAGTTTCCCCTGAAAGCAGAGCTTCTGGCAATGATGGCACACAGGCACCAACTGCTTTAGACAAGAAGCAGCTGAAGGTACAGTAATTAAAGTCACAGAGAAAAAGGCTTCAGCTTTTGTCATTGATCACTTTCAGCCCTGCTGCATTGTGTGACAGATTCAAACCAGTGACAATAAAATTATAGATCTAAGAGATAAATTGAAATTTGTTGAGTACGTTTCCTTGCTGTCTACGCATAAAATCACAAAACCTGTTACTAGCAAAAGAAGGTAACACTTAGTAAGGAGGCTAGAAATGTATTTATAAACCCCTTATAACTCATGTTCCATGAAAACAGAAATACAGTGTGAGTAACCTAGTAATAAGAAACATCTTAACTATAGTTTAAGTAGGTAGCTGTGTCAGCATGCATAGACTGCAAAGGAACAGGTAAAAGTTTATTCCCTGATGAAAAGAAAAGTAACACAATGTTTTGGCTGTGGAGTCTTCGTCAGGTGTGGCTCTTTATGTCAGTAAAGTGCTCTATAAACATGTGATCTATGTTAAAAAAATTCTTGCAAGCTCATGTCTAGCCTTGTTAGTTTACATTCCCTTCCTCATTGATGATATTGGCTAACATTGTTTTTATACAGTAATGCTATTTATGAGGTAAGAAATCTAATCTAAAATTCAGTATGTTGCTAAAAAGCAAGTTAGCAGTTTTCAGATCGTGCTAATATTTAAAACTTGAACACTAAATGTCTTAATTCGGTATATCTTCCTTTTTTTAGTTTTCTGTAATTCTAATGCAAAACAATATGTTTTCTCACCTTGTAGCCTAATCTTCAGCAGTGAGATTTCACTAGTTAAACAAGGCTGGGTCTGGTTAGTACTGGAATGGCACACCTTTAAGAAATACTTGCAGCAGAAACATGGTTTTGTAGGTAGGCTAGCAGTTGACACTCTTCCCACTGGACCAGAGTTTACAAGCTACTGCCCTAATGGGGAGACTGAGCATCTTGTGAATAAAGAATAAGATATTAAACTGAGGTCTTGACTACATGGTCTTGTTAACCTTGATTAATATAGTGTTAGGAATGTGTTCTCACTAAATGTATTGTGAACGTTCCATCTTCCTTTCACTGCTGTAGTAGTTTCTCACCTCTCCACCTAATCTTCTGTGTAGTGGGGCTGCTGGCACATAATAGCTGCTGCACATCACCCAGATGGGTGCTGCCCTTGAGTGCTGGATGAGGTGGGTCTCCTCCTGCTGTATATGTCAAGCTTTTTAAGAGTGAAAAGTACTGGAACTAGTCAAGTAGTGGAACTATTAAAAAAACATAATTTGGTGTCACGTAACTGGAACATGTCAGGCATGGTGGCACAGTGGTCAGCATTGCTGCCTTGTGGTGCTGGGGCCCTGGGCTCAGTTCTGGTCCTGCGGGTGCTATCTGCTTGGACTGTATGTTCTTCCTGTGCTCACAAGGGTTTCCTCCAGCTCTGGTTTCCTTCCAAACACATGCTAGTAGATAACCTGGCTTCTGGGAAAATTGACACTGTGTAAGTGTGTGTTCTGCGATGGACTGGCTTTCCATCCCATTGCTTGCTGGGATAGGCTCCAGCTCTCCTCCAATCCTGAACCGGATGAAGCAGTTAGAAGATGAATGGATAACTGGAACATATGTGCATATGAAAATTTATTGCAGATTTTCCTAACTCTGCCACCTGAACATTGTGCTTTTATTGTGTTATCAACTCTTATCAACTTTCTAGTTGTTCTATTGTATTTTCACACACCACTTTGCTTTCACTGCCTGTGCTCACTGGAATATCTGACTTTACTTCTAGCTTCTGTCGAATGCTTTTCATTTCAGTTGCTAGGTCGCGTCAAGTGTTTTTCTTTTCATTTTCTATGTTTTGTTGATTCTTATCCATTTAATTTGCTAGCTCTTGCTGAGAGCTTCTCATTTCAGACAGCTAATCAGCTACAGTATATGAGGGTACTCATCTCGCCCTGTCTTCCAGTCATCCCTGACACTTGTTGTACATCTACAAGGGATTGCTTTACTTCTTATAAGGATACTTTACTGACCTGATATTAATTTATTGCATCTACCTCTTTGATCTCTTTACCTACATGGACCTCACAGGTGGCTGTTAGAGAAATCTGCTCTGACACCAGTTGTTGGAAAATAACATGGTCAGGAAATTAAAATTTAAACACAAGTTCTTTTTGTTCCTTAGCATGATTTGTGTAAGAGAATAATAAATCAAAGCCAGATATGTACATGAAATAAAAATGAGCAACACCGAATTCTTCACATATACATGTTTGTACTGTACAAATATCTGCTTTCCGGAGGCCTGTGTCCTACAGACTTCGAAAATCCAGTATTCCAACACTGTAACTAAAAACACTATGCAATATTTAAATGGGCCAAAAAAAAAAAAAAACTAACAGCTGCGTTCTATGGAAAGGGCCCTAAACAAAACAATATCTCCCTTCCTGCAATATGGATGCCCAAAGGTAATGGGAATCAATCTCTCTTCTGAAAATGCACGTTTTTTTTCTGAGGAATCCACAATAAGGGAAATCAGAATTTCCTAAAATAATTAAGCCCACAGACTGTCACACATGATGTTCAGTTTACTTGAATCCGGTCTCCAGGACTGATCAGAACGAGCCTCTCACATGCCACAAGCTTTGAAGAAGAGGACAATGGTGATGTTCCTTCTTCTCTTTAAAGCTTCTCTTTTTCTTTCTTCCTCTCTCCCCTTTTCTCCTCTTTATTTATTTGCTTCTGTGTTTATGCTCTTCACTATAGCTGTTGAATACTTATCCTTTATTGTGGGTTTAATGATTTGCCATCGTAAAGCCTCTTTGATCATCTGTGTTTATCTACTGTACTTCTCAGCCCCCCTGCACTAGGCAAATGCCTCATGCCATTCCCATTGTCTCAGGCTTTCTGAGTAAGGCCTTGAAAAGTGCAATCAAGATTGGAGCTGCACACGACACCCACTCCTGGATCATAACCCAATATTTATTTTATTTTTCTAGAAATGTTTAAATATATGTTATCTAGGTATATGTCCTTTACAGTCCTTCACATATTCATACTTTTGTGACAGTGTAAGGAAATGTCGAAGGTTAATGATAATCCAGGCAATAGTGACATGGACAGGTTTTTGTTTTAGTGAGCTTCTTTGTACTTTCAAGGATACCCCCCTCCCCCAGCATAATAAAATATGAATTGCTTTTTTTTAAATTATTCAGCTTTTAATTTACATAAATTAAAATTTTATGAAAATCAGATTAAAATATTGAGTCGCAAAAGCTTTTTTTTTGCATTTATTCAAAATTGTGTGCTACATTGTAGTTTCCACTCTGTCAACATAATCTTTTTTTGTGTTTTTTTTTTTATTCCAAGAATATAGCAATCATATTTCAGATGACAAAGGCATAGCAGCACTAAGGGTTAGCCAATATTGTGGAGTACTGTTTTAGGCTCTGTACCTATAGCCGTACAGTTCAGAATTCAAATCCTGAGTGGGGTACCATTGTTGCCAAAATATGTTTGCTGCTTTACCTGTTTTGTGGCAGGTTTCAAAGACATGCGTGTCTTTGATGTGCAAAAGTCTTCACATTGATTAACACTCACTTTATTTGAGGAATTTTTCATGGGTACTGATTGGTATGGCAGTGCTATGACTTAGGTAGCTTTAGGTACTGCCCTGTGTTAGCTGCAGGAAGGAAAATACTCTGCATGACCACAAGACTTTGCAAGTGCACAGCTCTTGGTTTTCTCTTTTGCACTTTTGGTTAATACACATTATATGTGCAGGTTACAAGTAGGAGTTAAGTTGTTATTCAAAACCATACACAAAAAAGGGACTATGAAAATATTCATATTGCAACTCATTGTTTTCCATCATAAACGTTTAAGCACTGTTGTTGCAGTTGCCATGTTGAAGATTGTCCAACTACTATAGTATCAGACTTCAAAGAGAAATTTTATTTTTTTTCTCCTGTTAAAGGTGTCCTTTGTGATGTTTTCTATTTTCTATGTTCTGTATTGTTTTGTTGCTGACATTATTTGCCAACTGATTGTTGTTTTGCCTTACTAGCTACATCAAAGGAAGGGGGGAAAAGTTTTTAAGGAAGACACTTCCTTAAATTTGATGTAGGCAATAAGTACTGTATCTTGCAGAGTACAAGATAAGGTAGCATGTGCAATACTGTTATGCAATTCAGATGTAAAGGCATGAAACACAGCAGAAATCAACCATGAAGGAAAAGCAGATTCTTGCTTTTTTAACAAATAACTAAAATTTGGTAATAACAGATTGAATTCATTGTATAGTGAGTCCAATGCATTAAGATTGATTAAATAGTAACTAGAGCATGTCAAAGCTTCATTTTAATTAGAGAAAACACAGGATTTTGTTTCAGGGGAGTTCTACAGCTCAGTGTAAAATAGTAGTTCAGGTGGGTAGCTGCGTCAGCATGCGTAGGCTGCAAAGGAACAAGTAATAGGTTTATTCCATGCTGAAAAAAAGAAGAAAGAGAACACAACGTTTCGGCCGTGGAGCCTTCTTCAGGTGCCAGCGTGGAGCCTTCTTCTTTGACACCTGAAGAAGGCTCCACGGCCGAAACGTTGTGTTCTCTTTCTTCTTTTTTTCAGCATGGAATAAACCTGATACCTGAAGAAGGCTCCACGGCTGAAACGTTGTGTTCTCTTTCTTCTTTTTTTCAGCATGGAATAAACCTGACACCTGAAGAAGGCTCCACGGCCGAAACGTTGTGTTCTCTTTCTTCTTTTTTTCAGCATGGAATAAACCTATTACTCAGTGTAAAATATACAGACCTATAGCTTTTTAAAAATAAATAGCACTTGAAGTTTGCAATCTCCACAAATGATAATGTTGGTTTAAGAGGCAAGAAAACATTCACACCAAAGCCACATTCATAGCTACCACCAGACAGTTCTCTCTCACATAGCAACTGAAACTATTTTTTTGTCTAGTGTTATTTCAAAGGCTTATTTGGCAAGTGTTTGCCTGTTGGTTGAAGTTAGCATTTGTTGGGACTGAGGGTCCAGCTCCAACTGAACAATTTCTCGCCAACCAGGATGTTAAAATGAAATATTATTTTAGAAATAAAACCAGCTTTGTCCAAACAGATTCAACAGCTTTACATTGCATGCTAATTAGGGTGCCTGGTAGGTTCAGAGGGTATCCATCAACTTCACTGCTCTCTCACTTACTTGGAAGCTTTAGCAAATGGAACTTTCAAGTTAACTTTTAATAATTAAATACATGAGCTGCATGGGGAAAAAAGATTCAATTCTTTTGATTTTGCTGACCTTGTTAGTTGCTGGAAGTAATGACAATATGTCAGATAAAACGTATAATATAAAAAGTTTACGGGTATAAAACTGTATTAAAAAATTAAGTATGATAATGTTTTGTTTGTTGTGCCGATTTGGTTTATGTCTCTTTTTAAAGCATCAGAATTTCTGTGATGATTTAGATATCTCTATGATGGCCTGAAACACCCTTTCTTTTGTTTGCTGATTTCTAACGATTTCCTCCAAAGATTTTCCTCAAAAATCAATGTCCTATAGATACACTACCTTCTTCTGCTGAGAAGGAAAAAGTAGGAATGAGATCTGAGACTACACCTCAGTTTAAATGGCATTGATTTCAAATGTCTGTAATTAACTACTTGATTTTGGAAAACGTATGAAGATGAGGTCTCTAATCATCATCTTTTTTAGCCTAAGAAGAAGAAGAGAAAGATTGACATTGTGGAAGAGAGGCTTACAAAGGATATCTTTCCTGGCAAAGAGAAGAGTGAAGAAGAGGAAACAGGTGAGTGAATTGATTGGATACCGCTAACCACCACTGCAGGTAAAACCTGGACATGGACATGAAAACAAACATACTGCTTATAATCGTATTAAATTCACAGTTTGTCTTAGAACACTGACCTTTTTTTTGTAACAGGTGCAACTACATTTTATTGAACAGCATAAAGTTATGTTTCAAGAAGTGGATTATTTTTAATTGCTTTTAGTTGGCTGATACTGATATTCATCCGAAGTAACTTACATTTGCACTCATCTATTACATCTGGGTATTTTGCTGTAACAATTTGAATGAAAACGTTCCTTTGCTCAACAAGTGTTCAACAGCAGGGTCTCACCTGGGATTTGAACCTGTATCTTTCAAGGTACAAATCCAGAACCTTGACCAAGACTCCACACTGCTGGCTGTTGTAAAAATCACAGGCACGTGTGGCTGCTGTTGGGAGCATTACAAGTTGCACTGAGACTCGTGCTTTGCACCAGGATGCAGATGCTCTCTTGTAGAGTCTGGACATGTCTGGTTTGTTCACTTGTCTCTGAGCTCCTAATGCCACATGTCATTCCTGCTCATGCTGCAAATGTTCAAAAGGGCTTACGTTTGGGGATTTGGGAAACACTCAGAATTCGTATACTTTATTTTTTTTATAAAAGCATGCATGCATAAATAGTTTAATATGCTTCTTTTGATGCTCTGTAGATATCTATGACTTATTTTCCAAAATCCAGAACAGGTTAACCAGTGTAAAAATGCACAGAGCAGGTTAAACCAGCACTTAGTCGTCAAACGTTTATATTAACTTTGACCTTAAACTTGATCTTAACTAAACTTAACCCTGACCATTGGTCTTAAAATTATTAATCAAATAAGTATCAGGGTTAAGTATTAGTTTTAATGGTAAATATGTTTTCAAGGTTAATGACAGGGTTAAGAGACAGACATAGGTTTAGTTTGAAGATTAAAGTTTGGGTTGGTGTTAGGACTACATTTAAGGCTAGGGTTAAAACCAGAGAAGGAGGTAGGACTATGTTAAGGAGTAAGTAATTGCAAGCACTCCGGTAAAGAGGGCAGTTTTAGCTAACTTTTAACATCTTCACATGTACAAAGGATGTCTGCAGCTTACTGAATATTTAATGACCTGCGTCCCATTTTCTTGAAGAAATAAGACATAAAGTATGCTTCTGCATTTTGAGTCATGACTATTACATTTTTGCTACAGGTAAGCAGGTGTAATACAATGTGATTTGTTACTAATTAAGTGGGGAATGGAGTAGACTTGTTAGGGCTCTTGACACATAATGGACATTGTGGCTTTATGCCTCAGTAAGATACTTTACTCCAGACTACCCATCAGCACAAGAGGATACCAGTATCTCTAGGGGTCACTCTGCAAACAATTAGTGTGTTAGCCAGTAGGGAGTCATGGACAGTAAATGAACACTACTGTAAATAGAATAAGTTCTGACCAGAAGAACTCAAGTATTTACTTTACTACTAATTACATAGTGAAATGACTGGAATGTAATTGTATATTAACAACCCATCAAATCCATTGTTTTATCTTATAGCTTTGCTGTGTGTATAGTTTTAATTATAGCTGACTATGGTTATCTACAAGTGGAACAAAAAGAGGAAGTGTGGATATTGTGAAGATTCCACATGCAGTATATAGCTTCTTTCATCATATGTTCTTAAGCATACAGTGACCCTGCTATACAGTAATTCACATTTTGTTTATTTTTATAATTGCTTTAATTATTTCACCCAAACACATATCATGGTGGTGTGTTGCAAAGCAGGTTGGTCCCATTTATAATTTGTCGTCCCTTAAGACTGATAAATTAAACCATTTACCTACAGTATCACAAACCCTCAAAGGTGAAACAATTGATCTCTCTTGTCCACCTGCTCTGTGTATGGGGGTTGCTGATGCAGAATGGGTTCCATATACCACCCAGGTGAAGTGGGTATGCTCCTATTTATATATAAAAGCACTCTGGGAGTGGAAACTGTGATGTGAATGCATGCAGTTAATCAATAAATTTCGTTGTGTCCCAGGTATTTGGGTGACAAAAATCAGCAGTCGAGAGAAGAGACAGCTCAGGAGGGAGCGGATGAAACAGAAGGGTAAATAGCACTTGATGCACTGTCAGCCTTTCAACTGCACTGGATACCTCCACTGGGCTGTTGACGAGTGTGTCTGCTTATCCTTAGGCTGCACTCTTGCACAAGTTCTAATATTACCAAGCACTGCATCAGCTCTGTCCGTATCTCCCATTGTCTTTGAGTGGCCTTTGCTCTAACCAGGCTTTGACGTTTGTGTCCATAATGACAAATTACATTTTATATGACCAGTGGGGCTTGACAAATGTTATTCATTGTGTTTGTCAATCTGAAACCCGCCCTGCATTCCTAGTAGTCGACTGGTTCTCTTCCTCGGTAGAGACTGTGAGCAGGAGCTCTCCGCACCCCCCTGTGGACGAAGGATCCAGCCTCTGGAGTGAAAGAGCTGACAAGGAGACTGGTTGGCGAGCTCCTCTTCAGGGGGAAAGCCCTGCAGGATGGGGAGTTCCCGAGGCCAAACTGTCAGCTGGCCTATGGCAGGAGTCTCTGCCACAGGCCGTGCGCAAGGCAAACCGGAGACCAGTTGAATGGGTGCCACCAGGAAAACTGGAAGAGGATATTTTCTCCCATGTAGGTGAGTTTCACATACAGTACCACTGCAGAGGAGCGATGGGTGGAGCTCAGGCTTATTGTTGTGTTCAAGTCACACAGGAATCTGGAGCAAAACACAGCGCACGTGAAAATACTGTTGGAACACCCGGAGTGCTTGTATAACTATCGGCGCTGATCAAAGAAGAGCGCGTGCTCTCTGCATTTAGCTCCATGTCAGTGTCTTCTGTTCTGTCAGGCTCTTGGCCTTTTTTCCTACACAGGAAAAAAAAATCAAACAAAGGAAATGCATTTTTACAAATACTTTTCATGCCTAGACCTGGGGGCTTCGTGTTTTGTTTAGGAACTTGGAGTATGAAGGCCATGAAAACAAAGCCTGTGACCTTTGGGACTGTTTCTGACTTCCCTTCAGAATTTGGTGAGTGATTTCTGCTTCTTGACATGGATAAGAAAAGTTGTGAATGTAGTGAAAGTAAGAAGGAGGTTATAATGGATGGCTGATCTCCTGATTATGGCTATTTGGCTGTTAATGCTATTTTATAGAGATTAATTTTTAGAAAAATAAAGTTATATTAGTAATAAAGTTATATAGTATACAAAATCATTCCCTTCTTTCTGTTTGTCTTTCTATTTATGCATTTCTCAAATTCCAGATAACCCAGATGGTGCCACGCCACAGGGTAGCCCGTCTCACAGCCCGCGCCAAGCTCACATGTCCTCTCTGGGGGTGGACGCAGCTTGGCTAGGACTAGGTAAGAGCTCTGCAGGAATGGAGTCGCTGTTCATTCCGTGTGCTGTTTCAGGCTAACACGGGCCCTTCCGCTGAGGAGTTCATGCAACATTATTTCAGCTTGTTGTGAATAAAACAATCCTGCAAAAGAACACTGTATGAATGTGTGTGTGTGAGCTCTGCCTTCTGAAGCTAAGCCATGAGCCTGACAAGTATAGACCTAGGGCTTTTCAGTCTGTCCTCTCTTCTAAGAGGGGGAACTCAAACTGTGTTTTGGGAGGGTAATCTGCTTTTCATGCCAGCTCATTTGTTGTGCTCCACTTGATCAATACACTAGTAAGTGAAGGCTTGGATGGAACAAGAAAACAAGAGGCTTTGTGGACATTCAGGGACTGCGTGGCTCAGGAGAGTTTGCAGTACTTGTCAGCTACACCAGGTGTCAGCTAAGAGTAGAATGCTCACTTTGAATACAGAGGCCCCTGTCAAATGATATGTTGTGAACTAATATTATACATGTGCAATCATGTATCTGTCTGATATCTACAATATTTCGTATTTATATGTACAAAATATGTAAATTGCCTCATTTATACCTAACTGTTAAATAATAGAAAAACAGGAAAATATTACCATAGTTTGTACTAGCACTCTGTGAATTCTTGAGTTCACACAACTTGCTTTAAGAAATTCAGCAACTGTTATGATGAACTGCCAATACTATGGGATATTTACATTTCTCACTAAATGCCACATGTAAATAGTATTATAATCAGCCTACTGCTTTTTTTTAAACAGTCAATTAAAATGTCTTTCTTTTGAAGTTCCCGTTTATCACTTGACTAAGGTAGTCTGTATTTTGCTAGTTTTCCTGCAGTATTGAGCTGTGTTTCAGTAAGCATTGAACTGTTATTGCATTCCCCTGAAGTGCTATATTGCCATCCATGTGGAATCACCTAGAATTAAAATGTCTTCACATTGTGTTGGGGACTCAAAATGTGTGATGTGGTGTTCTCGAGAGACCTGAAGCCTGAGGATGTTTAGCCGTGCACCCTGTGTGTACCTTGTCCTGGCTGGAGTTGTGACAGGCTTGTGTCTTTATAGTTTTGTCCAGCGTTCACATTAGCTCCTAGTCACAGAGAGCATATAAGCGTTATGGTTTGTATTGCAAATGCTTCTCTCTTTGGGTGTGACATTTTTAGTGAAAGAAAGCTGGAGGTGTTCCTTTTTTCTTTTTCTGTGGGTTTTCTGACCCCTGCTCTTCATTTATTAACTATGCTCCCTGTCTCTCCCATGATGCGCGGATCTATAGGCTTTTGTGCAGACGGGAGTGTTGGAGAAGGCAGAGCAGGAGGACAGAGCACCACAGATTGCCACACTCACTCATGCTGGGGACCTAAACAGTGGGCATCAAGGCCTGAGAACAAGAATAATGTGCCTCTCAAATATGCAGTTAAAATGTGAAATTTGACTGCCTATTTCTTTTATAGTATTCTTCCTTAGTTAAGTGGCTTGTTTGCTCTTTTGACTGCACACATCTGCACATAATCTTGTTTTCAGAACATAAAGCTTACCAACGAGAAGGGACCATCAAACCCTTATAATGGTTAGTAGCAAGTTGATCCAAGGACCTCATCCAGGCATTTCTTGAAAGAAGCCATGGTGTCACTGTGACAGACCTACCACTTAGTCAGCAGGGGGCTTGTGAGGCCTGAGCTCATGGGAAAAATCGCAATGCAAAGCAAAATACTGTACAAAGAGTATTTAGCCAAAAATTTGTGTTCACGAATATCGACTACCTCTAAACTAACCCAATACCAACTATCACCATGAGTCCCTTTATCTACCTAATTATTCTAGATTAAATTCATTTAAGAATATGACTCAGCCCTTCACCTGTTATCAAATTAATTAATAATGCACAACATCTGAGCCTGTTCACACACAATAGTGGCCCTGATGCCCTCCATCGGCAGGTCAGCTGAATTACCTACCCTTATTAATGCTGGCCTGCTTCAACAACATGATTGGTAGCCCTGTCCCATACTCTCACAAAACTCTGTGTAAAGAAGTCAATCCTGTTCTCAGTGTTAAATGCACTTCCAGTTAGTTTCCACTCTCATTCGTGTTTTGCTGTTCGTTATATTAATTTTTCCCTACTTAAAGCAAGAGTTCTCAGAAATCTAAAAAATGTAATTTCATTACACCATGATACAAGTCTGTTGAGAAAGTCAGGCATTTTGTACTAAGGCTTCAAAAATAGATTTTTTTTTTATAAACAGGATTTTGTTTTTTAACCTTTTTTATTACCAGATGTCCTTTAGGGGTGTAAACTTGCAAAGTACGGTATTTTAAACACTTATCTAAGTATAAATTTAATTTTGTGTTTATCCACACTTGACCCAGTAATGATGTAAAGCTGTCAGGATTGCCTCTTAGAATGTGCGATCTTTAGTATTCTTTGAAACGTGAGTTTTTATGTTTAACACAAAAGGAAAAGTGGTAATAAATGGGGCAGAACTGTTGGTTGTGGTAGTCTGAATAGATTGCTCTGAATTTTATCTGAGCTAAATAAATAGCTCAGCATGCACTTTGAAGTGCTTTTCCGGTATACTTCATTTAGACAAATGTCTCAGGAATAAATTAACAGAGCTAAGAAAGGCAATGCTACAAAGAGTTTTTTGTTTTCTTCATCTTTAGAGGTGTCCTTTTGAAACTTATTTTGAAAGGATTATTGCTCAATAAGGTACAGTATCTCATCCAACACACACTCACCATGAAAGCTACACTATTTCACAAAAGTAACTGTTGCTTTCTTCTTCTTATCTTATCAGAAGATCCTTTTGATGCTGACCAGACTTCAGACTGGAATGCCCCCACTGAAGAGTGGGGCAACTGGTGTGGAGAGACCCCTCCACTGGTGGAGCCAGAGATACAGCCTATCATGAACAGACAGGTAGGTGCTGAGCTGTGGTGAACCTCAAGAGTGTTGTTACATTGCCTCAGTTAAGACTGCACTGTACTTTTGTACTCGATTTGATACTAGCGTGCCTGGAATGCAAGGAACTGAATTTTTAAAAAATAAAATTAGCATGATAAATAAAAATTTTACTATTTTATTTTCATTAAATTCATCCATATTTTCTTAAAAGAGCAACACTTGTAAAGGACTGCTGACCAAACGAAAGGCAACCGTCTGTTCTGTTTTTCATTTTCTAGGTAAATTGGCTGAAGAACAGCTTTCAACATTTACGTACTATAACATTTACTAGTTTGTGTGGTTTTAATAAAAAAGTAGTCTCTGACTTCAGTGCATAAGGAATTGGAGTATAAGGTTCCTCAGGATTTGGAATATAAGGTTCTTGAATTTCAGGGCTTTCTCGGAATCCTTTGACGTCAGGTCTCCTTCTGAATTATTAAATAATTGAATGCTGTCCCTGCTTGATTTAAACTGCTCTGGCTTAGACCTGTGGGTGTCTGCATCCAGCGTGGAGATTAATCTGGGTGCTTATTTGAAGTAAAGTAAAATAAATGACACTGAAACAACACACACGAATATAAAATAAGTGACTCCTTTGAGAACAATTCAGTTAGAGCAGATTTTTTATTTTTGCCCCATGTCCTTACTTTCAAAGGCTAATTTATTGAGGCTTTCTTTAAGTGCTTAGTGTTTTCAGTTTTTCTAGGCTCAGCTCCTTACAAGTGTTTCCTGTCAAAAATGGAAGTCCTCTTTCACATAGAGGTGATACACTGTGTATGAGAAGCTATTTCTGTATTACTATATTACTGGTGTGTGATGCCTGTTAGTATTTCCTGTCCAAAGCTGGTAGTTAACAATAATGGGACCACTCATTTTGTTGGTGCTGTATTTCAGCAGGGCCAGGGACCGGGGAGGAGAGGGATGGAGGAAGGAAGCGCATCGGCACAGGGGCCCCAGCGGCCTGCAGATGGTACGGAGGTGAAGAGCCCGAGTGGCACGCCATCAGCTGACGGTGAGCAGTGGTCCTCTGGGTCTTCCAGCCGGGGCGGAGCTCTAGAATATAGGGACAGTGACAAATGAGCAGAGGCCACTCCCCCCATCAGACCCGTTTAATAGCTCGTTAATTGGTCCGAGGATCCTGAGAGAAGCTCTGGTTCTGCCGAGTCAGGTTGGGAAGGGATAGGGAAGTAAAATGGCAGGGAGAGTGAGCTGCAATATATGAAATCACATCTGGAGTGCTGCCGATTAAAAACGGAAACCAGAAGGAGATGTTTCTTAACTTGGCCTGAAACATGCCAGCTTTATAATCACTCATTTGTAAGAAGCATCTTTCAAAAGAACCGTTTTACAGCATATTTAGAAATTTGGGTTGTTTCTTTATTGTTTTGGAAAATAGAGTAAAGTTGCTTTTCTATATATTTATCCATATTTTCACAGTCTCTTTTCTTGGTGAAAATACACAACCTAAACAGAGAATGAAAATCTGCTTCCGAATCTTACAAAAATGTAGTTTTAAATGACTTTAATGATTTGCAGTATGTTAACAGTAGCATCTTAATAATGACTTGGAGGAATTACCATTGCTGCATTATCATTGTCAAGTGTTGTTGTTGATTATTTCTCATTTCATTTTTTTCCTCTCTTGCACCTCTTTCTTAGGAATCTCATTCAATTTGGACCACACCTTGGTGTCCCAAGGCAAGGGTTGCTTAAAATGTTCTGGATGTTTAAGAATGTCACACTGCTGTTTTTTCAAAGGCTATTTCCTTGGATAGACAGAAGTACTCCCTTAGTACTATGAGATTTTTCCTTAGTTATGTGAGAAAGAAATCCAGAGCTAGGAGATTGTAATAGAGAATATTTGATTCACCCCAGACGCCACTTTTTAAACTTTATTTTTGTTCTCAATAATTATTTTTTAATGTTTTACTCAATTTGGATTCTCAAATAGTTTTATGAGGCTTGGCTTTTTTTTGATGCCTCCTCTACCACTCAGAAGGAATGGGAGCAACATGCTCTTCAAACATGCCCGCTGAGGAACAGTGCATCTCTCCCTGTCCCTGCTGCAAGCCTGCCCATTCCCACCAAGGTGTTGATTTAGCCCCAGCCCTTCCTCACAAGAACTCTGCCAACTTCACTTTGAGCCACTTTTCAACTCAGGAATCAAGTCATAATGAGCAGTCCTCACCGAGCTTCAGTATTTATTGTTTGATGTGTTTTTAATTAAAATGTATTGAAAGTGTATTAATTACATTTGACCATCGTTTCACAACACAATAGTATAGTACATAATTTACATTCTCCTGTTCATTTTGGTTCTTGAAATAGTTGTTTTCTCAGAGATGCTCTATAGTGTTTCTGCCTGTTCACGAGGAGGCACTAATATACCCAAGTGTTATGCCAGCTGTAGCAAATGGGAAATGCATATCCCCATATGGGCCATCTTTCCCCCTTTATTCATCCAAGAATTAAAAATGCTCAAAAATATTGACAAAAACAACAGTGGCATTCTGCAAACTGAATAGAATAGTGAAACACGAACCAGAGGATAGAATTGATAACTACTGTATACGAAAGTATATTTAAATTGAGAAAAGGAAAAACGTCTTCACCCAAAGCCTTGTGGGATTGTGAAACCAGCTATCCAGCCATGTTTTTGAAGTTCATAGCTGGGTTTGTATTAAAAAAAGTCTATAAATGATACTTGGATCAATTAACTATTAACTACAAAAGAGCTGATTGTCCTCCCATTTGTAAACTGTCTTATGTTATTTTTATTGTTACAGTTATTGGAGGTGGCTCTAGAGGTGTCTCAAGAATCTAGAGACAATGGTCAACATTAACAATTTTCATTCTGGTCTTCTTGTAGCAGTTTTGTCAGAAATGCTCCATGGTGTTTCTGCCTGTTCAAGATGAAGCACTAATTTACCCAAAGACTTTCATTTGCAGTTCTCTGGGGCTTCAAAGCAAGAAAGGAAGTTGTAGGGTGTCTGAGACACACTGATCAAATGAATCGTCTGGTTTACCTTGGTTAATTAAGTTCTTGGAAAATCATTAAGGGTCATCAACAGTCCAGGAAAAGGGAATAAAAGGATATAGAAAGAGCAAAAGTGAAAGAAGACGGAAGACAGAAAAGGGAAATACTAGAGGCAAGTGGCCTTTGTCAGATCAATCTTAAGGACCAGGTTCTAGTCAAGTATTTGAACTTTATTAAGAGAGCTTGCCATTGTCTTGTTTTAGGACAATCATTTTCTTTATAAATAATAGGTTAACAACAGTCTCTCCTAGTTAGTGGATGCATTTTTTAGAATAGGGATAGGATCCCATTCACTTTGTAGCATTTGCATTGAAAGAGAGATTTAACTCTAGGTTGCATTCTGTTTAGTTTAGAAGGCAGGTTTATCTGTCTTGTTGGCCTGTGTAAGCATCGTATTCATGAATACTTGGTAGCAGTCACGGGTCTTTTTCTGGTTGGTCAGGACATAGGCCTCTAAGATACCTTGTTTGTAAATAGAGTAACTTGTTTGTTTTGTTGTTTATTTTGTGAAGTTATTATTAATAAACATTTGTTTAATCTAATGTAGTCTTTTCATCAAAGCTGTGCCAAAGATCAAAGGTCTGAAGTGTCTGTTATCATACCAACTGCTCTGGTATATTTTTGGCATATCTTTACAATTTGGGGGTATTTTAATATTTTAATTAATGGAACAAGTAATAGGTTTATTCCATGCTGAAAAGAGAAGAAAGAAAATGTTTTGGCTGTGGAGCCTTTCTTTCTTCTCTTTTCAGCATGCAATAAATGTATTACTTGTTCCTTTGCAGCTACACATGCTGACGCAGCTACCCACCTGAACTATTTTAATTAATGATTACCTTCTCAGTCTATTTTTGGTATTTCACTATTTTTGTAATGCCTTATTTGTTTCATTATTATGAAATAAAGTAATCTGCTCCTCTTCATAAGGTATATGTAAGAGTGCAAAGGAACAGGTAACAGGTTTGTTCCATGCTGAAAAGAGAAGAAAGGAAACAGAACGTTTAGGCTGTGGAGCCGTCTTCTGGTGTGAGCATAAACCTTTACTTGTTCCTTTGGAGCCTGCGCATGCTGACGCAGTTACTGTACCTACTTGAACTATATGCAAGAGTGTTCGCATCCAGTCTAAGCTGCTACATTCACACCGCAAATACTTTTTCAGTTAATTAAGTGTGCCATGTTGCTGTGTTTTATAATACAGACAAAATCACATGCAGATGAGTCATTTCAGACTTAATTAGTGATGCAGGTTAGGATTACAGAGAGCAGCCACCTCGTGTCTAATGATCGACTGTCTCTTTTAGACCCTGATACGAAGAAGGACAGGAAGAAGAAGAAGAAAATGAGGAAAGAAACCTGACGGTTCAGTCCTTGCCAGCTGAGGGGAGCAAACCCAGAGTATGCGATCGCTACATTAGCTGCAAAGGCTCTGCTTTAGGAGGTGCTGAGCACAGCCCTGTCCCATGTGCAGATTGCCAGAGAGAGAGACTGGAGTGAGAGCGAGTGAGGTGATCAGGCTGACGATCTCAGGTGCACAGATAAAACTAGCTCTAAAGCTCCATTCATCTGGTGGGAGGTGGGTTTTATTTTCTAACCATCAGGTTCGATTAGAGCTGTCCTACTCTGCTATGTCCGGTACTGTGCTGTGCTGCGGTTTACATCCTGTGTGCCACAAGCCTGAACTGTGTGTGTGAAAGTTAAAGCTGGACTGGAGACCGGTAACCAATGACAATTGGATTGGTCCTCAGATTGGGTGCTTCTGAATGTGGATGGGTGTGTGAAGTGACATGTGGGATCTTAAATTTGATCATAATCTCGCATTTTTTACATGTTCTTGCAATACCCCATACTGATTTAAATTGTTCTGTTTTGAACTTATTTTTTCTTCATACACCGTTTAAAATGTTGTTATCAATATAACATAACAGCGCAAACAAAAGGGAAGAGCATGAAGCTAAATTATGTACATCACACAGGACTTAATCTTCATCATCTGAGAGTTAAAGAGCAGATCACAGTCTCCGGTATGTCAGATATTACATGGTGTAAAATGGTATTCAATTTCAATAAAAAGTTAAAAATATATTTTAATTTAAGCTATATGTACAGTATATTCAGTTTTTAAGTGAAGTTCTATCATTGGTAACATTAATTAGAGAATAAAGTTTGTATTTGTAGGTAAGTTTTATTTAAAAAGTGCTTATTTCCTGAACTATTTAATTTGATTTACATACATTTATTTAAAATAATGATATCATTATAAATTAAGGCAAATGTAGGGGTAAAAAGTACCTGACTACCTCCCAAAACCCAGTTCTAGTAATGAACATTTTTGTATTGGATACACTTTTAAAATAAATTTCTGCTGTAAGAAATCAATATGTAACCTCTAAGTACAGGGTTCAACAGCCCCATGTTGAGACTGGGGATGTCCAGACAGCAATGGTTCAGATAGCAATGGCTGCTCTTGCGTTGCATTCAGTAGTGATACATACCGCGTACCGCAGGGCCTAAGGTTGTTCCTTAATCATTGTGTAGACTTCACTGAATCATTCCTGGAACTGCGGTGGAGAAAACCAATATTATGCCTACTGGCATGTCTCAGATATCTTAGGCTAACGGAGGACTGAAGAGTGCATCGATTTCATGCTGGTTATGACCAATTTGGGTATTAACGGTTAAATAATATCTAGATTTACACAACCCCAAAAAGCATAATTTAGACATTGAAAGCAATGCATCACAAGCTCAGAAACTTGAATATGTTCTCTCTTGGTGCTCTTAGTTTGTGCTTGGTTTCAGAATATAATCTCTTGTAAATCAAATCAAATCCATTTTGAGCAGCGCATGACGATGGCAGGCCACTGACAGGTCAGAGGGATTTCAGAATAGTTCATTTTCACAGATGTTTAAAACAGTCAGATAATCACCTCAAACAAGAGCAGAACCTGGTAAGAAAAACTTCTTAATGGCGAGATGAGCTCCACTGTCTTTTTTTCATTTTGTTCTGCATCATAGGCTATACAGTATGTTGAAAAGTATCAACCCACATTGGGCATTTTCATTTTAAAATAAGGATGAGAGATGTAAAGTAATTCTTGGATGTGAATCAAGATTTCTGATTATAATGTGGGAGATTAAATCCTGATTGTGTTCTTCTTTTCTGATCCAATGAAATAGTCACTTTTTATGTAAAGTCATCTTGAATGGTGACTACACACATAATGGACTTTGAGACTCTGATGTTTGAAGTTAATCTCTGCTTAAAATATAATGCCTATGTACGTAAAGGAGCCTGCTAGCACACTGCTGGGGGACCTAATTGCTGAAACGATTCAGTAAAGATATGCACCATCAAAATCCACAGCAAAGCCTGATTGTTTCTGACTGTCAGTGGACTATTTTCTGACTATTGACATTTTTTTTTGAAAAAGAAATGGCACTTGTGTATTGATGGTGAATGTGAAGGCTGGTTGCTGGATCTTGCAATTAAGGAGCTTTTGACAGCTACCCCCCATCCTACAACATATCTTTTTTTCAGTGATATCTAAATGTAAAAGAGGGGATGTTTTTAAATCGCCAATTGATACACCACTTCTGTCTGTCTTCTACAGTATAATTTCAAGCCTGTTCATGAACTGAGGCTTCAATAAGATACAGTGGCCCTCCCTGGTGTTTGAAACTTTTTTCATATATTTTCCATAAATATTACCTGGTGTATTGTCTGCAAATACAGACGGTAGAACTTCAGATTTCTTTCTGCAGGTAATGCCAAATAGTTGAACAAAACAATGCCGGTGGTTACATCAGAGGTCAGCAATCAAATTACAATGTCATACATTACTATATCTGCATAAGTGATTTCAAAGTCCTATCATAAATAAATTACATTTTTCACATTTTATCCCATTTTACTACAGGGAAGGAGGTGTCTTCTCTGCACTTGAATTGTCAGTAATCACTAGTCGGATATTTTACCTGGGGTGACTAAATTAGATAATTTTGTAATTTGAAAAGAACCCATTTGTAAATATAAATTCTGCATAGGTGAGTTAACCACAAAACGATGCAACCATTTTCAGTTTGTAAAAAAAAATACTTCAGTCTCTGTAACAAACTCTTTAAATTGGTGTAAAAACATATGTGAGCAAACTGCTATTAACATATTTATTAATGTTATTTAAATATGTATTAATTGAATACAGTACTGGATCTGTAGCTGTTGTGTAAGAGTTCAGTTGTTCTGCATGTGTTGTTGGACTTAAATGTTTCTTAAAAGTGTGCCTTTACTTACTGTACAATTTGCAAGTGATCAACACCATAATGACAGGGTTGCATTTCAATAACTGCCTTTTAAATAAGGCAGCCTTTCTTAATGTTCCCCTCCTGAAAGCTTGTGTGTCCATTTTCCTTTTCAATAGCCTGGCTTTTATATAAAAAGCAAAAAACAATTACAGAAATCTGAAAAGTCTTTTTAATAATCTTTTTGTAGGATGATTTGCAAATATTTTTAATAGTCAGAAATTATAATTTTGTAAATACTTTATTTTCCATTAGTTAAAAGAACGTCATAAAATGGAATTGTATCATGTTTGCCAATGGAAATAAATTGCAGGAAACATAATCCCATCTTGTAAAGTTTTGGGACTGGTTTAAAGCATATTTGTATTTAGAGTACTGAGAAAATCGGTGATAATTTAAAGGCTTTCAGTTCTTGACCCCTGCTATTTTCCTAATGAAAAGAAGTAAATTGATCGTTTTTAGTGTTTCCTGTATCACCCGTTTGCCTGTGGCCGGTTCTGTTTCCTAGTTAAAACACTGAAAGTCTGCAAATTATGATTGAAAACATCTCACCAATGCTTGTTTTTCTGCAAGCAAAATTACAGGTGATGCTAATCTCTAATCCCACAATCCATTTAAATTATATTTCAGTCCTACACTTGACTATCTGAGGTATGTGTTTATGCCATTTTGCAATGATGTTGAGAGACAGATCTGTCACTGTTCTTTTTAACAGAAGAGAGAGAAATGGTATCTTTAAAAACTATTCAGATCCTTCCTGTGGTGCCCCTAATGTTTTTGTGAAATAACAAAGTGATGCATTCACATTTTTAAATGTAATATTTTATTGAATGTGTATCTTGTGATGGATGTGCTTCCCATCCAGCGTGTATCCTGCCTTGTGCTCATTGCCAAGTCTCCCCCACAACCCTGTGTTGGATGAAGTGGTTAGAAAATGGATGGATGTATATTTTATTCAAAACCTGGCTGCTCAGACTGAAGACTTTTAAGGGTAACCTAAGGTGCATTCATTATCAGCAAAACCAAAAGACACAAGCATTACTGCTGCAAGTCATTTTGGGAAGGTCTCTCTTGACTTGATGCAAGTTATGCCCATTTTTCTTGGCAGATCTGCTGAATCTTTCTCAAGTTGTTTGGGGATCACTAATGGACAGCAGTTCTGAAGTCTTTTCAGAGATTCACCCTCTTATTCTTGAGCCACTCTTGTGTAGCTTATACAAATGATAAATTAAGCATCTTGGTTGGTTTGCTAAACAAATCTTTTAAGTATATGATGTGACAGGCTCACCAACCGTTTTGTTTGAAAATTTGGAAGGAAAAAAATGAGAGTGCATTACGACACTTCTCCCCTTATAATATTGAGATAGTGTTTTGTATTATGCATCTACATACTTCCTTGGGATGCCTTAAAAAGACTTGCACAGTGTGTAAGTTGGCTAGATAATTATTTGCTGAAATTGACATGTAATTGTAGAAGGGATTTAGAGTCTAAAAGCATGCAAGTGCAGTTTGACTTGGTCTGGTGTTGTTAGTGCTGGTGTGTTGATTGCTGCTTACAGGGGCTTAATTCTGACATACAGTCATGTTTCATCAGTGCCAGGCTCTATCCTGTAATAAGGTCACATGCACAGGGAGTGGTAACTGTGTGGAAAGATATTAGGGATTACTATCACATTAAAGAAAGCAATTATGCTCCTGTTGAGCAAGACTCAAAAGTTTCCACAGTTAGTTTAGAGTGAGGAGCTGTGGCTACCAAGGAAGAAGTAAAAGTTAATACCGCCCTATAAATTAGAAAGACAACAATGTTTTAGTTCCTGCTTCTTCTCCGGGTGAATGGGAGAGAGAGGAGGGGAGCTGAGATATAAAGCACTGGAGAACAGAGGACAGAATGAGTGGGAATGGATTCACAGGTGAGAGAGTGTATCTGGGGGAAAGGTGGGAAAAGCTGAAATCTGTAAAAAGTCTCAGTTGAGGCTTAATTTCCTCAGTGGCATTAAAGGTTCGTGCGTCCGTTTTTTCTAATAACGTCTATACTAAAGCACAACAGCATGGACCACTTTCTTTCACTTTGTAATGTTATATTGGTAATGGCACCTGACATTAATTTGTAGTACCAATGCATTATTTTACCCGCACACATCCATTACTTTCTATGGTTCTACAAGTTACATTAGGTTAAACAAAATCAGGTAAATGTGCTGGGAAACCCTCCAGCTCTAAATGTAGAAAAAAAGAGCATTTTACAAGAACATGTATATATTTTCAGTTAGACTTGCCGTCACCCTGAGAAAATAGTCTAGTCAAAACCATGTTGGTGTTTTCTTAATGATTCTCTATACATTCAAGTCTTCATTATAAATCAAAATGTTGCTTAATCCATGTAGCACAATGCAATTATCCCGTTGCTCAACACAAAGCATGATCAAAGGCTTTTTAACGTATCTTAAGATGTATAATGCATATTAGGGTTATTACAGTATTTCTCTGTTTGAAGTAGTGCCATCCCTGTCAATCTAAACCCTTTCCTATTGCCTCAAGGGTTCAGTGAAATAGGTTTCTACTTGTGGGATCAAACATGGTGCTTGTGAGTCACTGTTGTCCAAGGTATAGTAATGTAAAGGGTTTAGTTCCTTCTTAAAAATCTTAGACAAGAATCTAGCATGAACAACAAAGAGGTGATATTTTCTTAAATATTTTATGTGCATGGTATCCGGTGCTGCATGTTTTCTTTTGTGTGTAATTTATAATCTGGTGTTGGCACTCTGTAAATACTGTATGTCAAGACTCATCGTGTTCAAATAAAATTTGTACTGAAAGCAATTGTTTCCTTTTGTATATTTGAATGTGGTAACTTGGGAATCTGACATAGCTTGTTACCATAGTTCTCCTCTCCTAGAAGTATACTGTATTGTGCATTCCTGGTAGAGGGGGAGCCGGAGCCTATCCTGGAGAGCAATGGTTTCAGGACAGGTAAACCAGTCCATCACAAGACCCAGGTCAGTTTTACAGAAGCCAATTAACCGACCAGTATGTCTTTAGACTGTGGAAGGAAAATGGCACCTACAGGAAATGTGAACACTGGGAGAACATACAGACTCCATGCCATGCAGGCATCACCCCAGAAATTGAATCGGCACTAAACACATTGCGAGGTGCTTGATACAGTGCTATTCCCTTCTGTTTGCTCATCATCAATTGAATACAAGAGCTGTTGAGTTAAAGGTAAAGGGGCAAATTCAAGCTGACAATTTGTAGAGATGGGTGGATGTTTGCCCGTTATGTCTTCGAGCATGTAGGGGCAGCAACATCCTGTTGGTGTTACCGTGCCAGTTTTTTTACAGGACGGGGTTGTTAGCCCAACCCCCAACAAGGAGGACCTGGCACCCAACATGGGACATGAACCCACTACCCTGAGATTTTGAGTCTCACGCTCTACCAACAGAGCTAGTTGGGGCCTCAGTTTGTAGAGAGACTGCATAATATTTGTCATTCTAATATTGTTGAAAGTAATGTAATTTAATTATTTTTCAAAACCATGGACTTAGAGCAGAAAAACTTGTAAACCAGCAAGAAGACCAGTTAATGGTAGCAGTTAGCAAAGGCACTGCAGAACTAACTGATGACTGAGGACTAACTGATTTAGGCCAAATGCTGAAAGTGCCTAGAATCACGTGTTTTCTAGTGACTACATGCTCCCTGCATTCAAAAACATACATATAAACCCCATTTCAAATAATGTAACTAATAATATAATTGCATACGTGTCGATAGTTCGAGGCTCGTTTAATACAGAACAAGCCAACCCCACGTGACAGTGAAATTCAAGCAAGGCAAAAGGCGTAAAAAAAATGACAGGGATGACAAAGTGGTTTGTGGAAAAGGAAAACTTGATGACACGGTGATGAAGTAGTGGCGAGAAAGTTCCCGGTCGGTCCTTGCTAAGGGCTACGTCACACTACCGGCTGACAATCGGTGGCGCAAGACGCCGTGTCGCCGAAGTCCGGCCGAACAGACCAGCTCAGGCTCAGCCTTTGTCAGCCCACGCTCGTCTCCATGGCCGTCAGTCTCCAGTGAGCCAGCCTGGCCTGGCCTGCTGGGGCACCCTTAGTAGCCATTGGCCACTCTTGCTGGCTATCAAATCTAACGACGTACCGGGGTTTGTTTTGGTTTTCATACGTCATCGCCTGCGTGCGGAGGCTTTTATTTCAGCCGCTGGGGTTGAGACAGGCAGTGTGGGTTTTACCTCCTGATAAGGCTTTTCCGCAATGTTTCTCCCGAAAATGGAGGATAATGTGAATTTCAAACCGAGTCGGGACAGGTTTTACAGTACGCGGTGCTGCGGCTGCTGCCATGTCAGAACCGGAACCATTATCCTGGGGACGTGGTACATGGTAGGTGAAAGCTGATACTGGCTTTTCTGCTGCTGCCTCTGATGATCATCTGTGTGGCTTTTTCCTTGCCATTTTCCCTTCCCCGAGACGGCGCATGAGCGAAATACAGTGAATACCGATGATTATAGTATTGCAGGGTAATGCGGGACGTGTGAATAATAACGTCTCTCCTGCGTGTTATTTAAATAAACGAGTGATATAAAATGCTTGTTTTTGTAGCCTGCTGTATCCATCTCGATTCGCAAGACCCGTGTTTGTTCAGTCTCTCCCCCCTGCAGTCTCTGTAAATTAAACTCATGCTTTGCTACCGAACTAGATCAGGACCATTTTGGTTTCACCGATTTGTCCTTTTTCGAGGTTCTGTAATGGCAGAACTTTCCCGGCTACGTTCAGTTTTAGTAAACGACGGTGAATTCATATATCGGTGGTGGGGATGTTGTCGTTTTACCTTAATCTGCATTTTTTTTAACCCAAAACATGGTCTGCTCTTCGGCTCCGTGACATTACTGCGCCCATACATTGTAAAAGTAAATGTTGGTTCACTTAAAAAATCGAAATGCGATTTTTTTAAATGGCTTACATTTATTTTAAAGACGCTAAGATGGCGTGAATTAACCACCCACAAAATATTTTGAGAAGATGCCGAGATTTCTGTTGACGATTTACATGACGATTAACCCGATTTTACCATTATCTTAGATTCAGCTGTGTATATGTTGGGAGAGTCAGAGATCAGTGAGGTTTTGCGTGGCGTTGCTAATATTAACGGATCTAGTGAAACTGCCTCTTCCGTATCTTGGCGACTCAGACGCCTTTAACACTCGACTTCAATGTTATTTTCATTTCCGTAATGGAAACTCTGTTCTTGAAAATTACTTAAAATGCAACCTGCGATTCGAATTCAGGTCCGCTATTTTCACGAATAACCTTTTTTTTTTGCCAATACAGTATATTAGACCAAAGAGAATCAGAACTTCTTAAGTTTAGGGGGTCTCAAACTCTGGTCCTGGAGAGTTTTTTAAGATTTAAAACCTACCGATGAATCAGGCAAATGTATCTTGAGGGAGTATTGGCAATTTAAATGGTGAATTTGCAGGATCAGAGTTAAGAACCCGGGTTGAATTTAGCGTTGAAAACCGTCCGAACTGCTCTCAAAGTACAAGGAGTGTAAAGCAGACCTGCCTGTACACTACACTCTTAAAGGATACAGTGCTACTGCAGCATTAGAAATGTTGGGCCTCTCCGGACCTCTGATAGGATAACCAGTGTGATTTGCAGTCCAATACAGTAGTAGAATACAAGGGTTGTTTGAGTTTTTTTTTTCCGCAAGAGCATAATATTTGAGTCACGGCAGAATTTAATTGTATTCTTCCAATACAAACATTTTAAAATACTTCATGTGTGATGTCATTGTCACTTTGATATTTTGATATGTCAATATCATAGGTATTACTACATTTTGTATGACTACATTATCAAAATACTGATTCATTCCCCATTTCTTTTACGTTTGAAAAGACTGTTGCAGCCCCTGTCCTTTAATCAATATGGTTTTACCTAAAATATTATGAACAGAAACTTTAAGTTTTAGAACAGTGTACTGTTGGTTTGTTGGAGTTACATTTGAAATGAACTTTTTCTTAATTTCTTATTAATATGTAATGGAGACCTTATAAAAACACACTTCTGCATTTACAGATGTGATCATCAGTTGCAAACAGTAGTGTTTTAAGTGTAAATCAACATTAATTCTTATTAAAGACTATTGCAAAGTTTTATTATATCAGTACATGAGACAAAAATGTAGCATGACATTGGGGAAATATATATATATATATTTTAGAATTGCCCTTGTACTGTACGTCTGTATTTTTTGGGCTGGAGTTGCTTTGCCAGGAGTCTGGTCTTGTCACTTCTAGCATGTCCTACTCTAAAGTTGTGCTATTTTACTGTCAAGGTCGTTTGCATACTGTTATGAGCCCAGTTATGCAACAGTTCCATGCTTTTTGTCAGCTTGGAAACAGATCTTTGTTTACTGCAGCTACAGTGGTTTTTCAGGCTGCATCCTCTTGTATAATCAATGTTTTGACGTATGCCACTGAATGTACTACCTCTCTGACTCACACTTTGCCTGTTTCTTTGACACAAAGTTTGGCCTTGTCTTTTCTTAATTCGGAATGTAGCTAAAGATATAGATCTCAATGTGGAGAAGTGATCATGGTCTACAGACTGGGGAGTCCAAATCTAATTGCAAGTGAGACAGTGCTGTTGTACCTTGATCAAGGTACTTCATTCGGTGTGCTCCAGTATAATACACAGCTGTATAAATGCATCTACAGGTCTTCATTGTAAGTGAGAATTTGTTCTCGACCAAAAACTAATTCAGATGTTATTATGAGCAAGGAAATTGTAATTGTTTGATAAGGTATGCATTAAGAAAACCAGAATGTTAGGATAGTAAAATTCCTTAATTTTACCAATCTGTAGAGAACAAATTCTCATTTACAGTCGTGGGAGATAAAGGCAGAGGCGGAGAGTCACTGAATGTTCTTCTAGGGAAAAGAATGGTCTGGTTACTGTGGGAATGAGTGGAAATGAACCGATCATATCGATCTGTACAGCACTAGACACCAAAGCAAGCATCATTAAAAATGTTTTTGTTACAGATGCATTTATGGAATCGGGAATTATGACTCATGAGTTCTCATTGATTTTGTATTGGAATTACCATCTAACAAGCTCGTCATTCAGTCTTGATGATATCATTCATGTAAAGCTTATATGAAGCATTTAAACATTTGTCACAATCATGGGTACTTCATTCGGTAACTTCAAACTGGTGTACTCATTCAGTGGATGCTGTGAAATGTGTGAAAGGAACTTTAAAAAGCTTGTGCAATACTAATTTGTACTGAATACAACTCTAGACTAAGTTGCCAAGTCAGCACAGTATATGTGAAGTTAGATTGTGAACTACAGCTGATGCAGATACAGCTGTGCTCCATATTTGCTGACTCAGTATTTTCCTGAGTGGTTTGAACCAGAAATGATGATAATGCTACAGCAGATAGTTGGATTTCTTGCACTGTGAATGAGCAGTCCAAGTTTCATGCCTCAGGAAGCTGAATTTTAACTTCAGTTGCAAAAGAACTGACACTCTTGAAATCACACTTGAGCAGTAGTGACAGTGAAAAGGCTCCAGAGATCTTGCAAAAAAGACAATAGAGAGGTCCATCTTTCAGTCTTCTATTAATAATGCTGTCTAAAATTTATTTGTGGTGATTTTCACTTGGCTGATAATAGTGTGTAGGCCCTCCTCCAACTATATTTTCTTACTTTTCCACCTATGCTTTTTTATGTTCAGTTAAGTCAGACTGCATTGCATAATGCATGAAATTTCACACATGCTACTTCCTGTGTAGTTTTTGCCTTGACCCATACAACCAGTCAATAAATAGATTGCAAACTGTATGGATTCCTTGAAAAGAAATTTCAATTAATTTCAACTTCATTCTGAATGAAGAGTCTTAATTCATTAAAAATGACTAAATTCATATCTTATGCCTAACCCACTGCCAAAAATGATGAGTTGTTAGTACTGTTTAATACACACAGTAGTTTGTGTATAGTTTTACTGTTTCCATAAGAGAGATGCATTAGGTAGCTGGTTGGAGTTTTTCGGACTAATCTTGTTTCAGTGTCAGACTGAAATGTATTTTTTAGCCTTATCTAGGATGCATATTAAAGATTTTTGTAGCTAAGGTTAGTTTTTTTTTTTAGTATTTGACACAAGCCTGTGTATTTGAATTATGGAATTAGATGTTTGTTTTAAAACCATTCTAGCCCCTTTACAGTATTTTCTATACGCACAGGAGAATTTAGCACTCAGCCTTGTCCAGTGAAATTCGAGAGCCAGTCAGAGCAATATTTCTCTGATGACACAAGAAGTATTCAGTCAGGACTGAGTTGTTTCAGCATCTCATTATGCTGTGTATGTGTCTACTGTATGTTTCACGCTCTTCATGAATTTCTGTTTCTTTTCAGGTGGTAAACCTGTTGATGGGAATTTTACTGACGGTTGCTGTGACTCATCCTGACAACGTTCCCACTGTAGACCTGCAGTATGAAGTCATTGAGCATTACTTTGCCTCAGATAGGATGGCAGGTAAAGTACGAGATTTAAAATTGCAGAACTGCAAAGCACACAGCTGCGGTATTGGCTTAGAATTTTCATTGAAGAAATCTTACTGAAAAGAGCTGCAGTTTAAGCAAATCTCTCTTTGGTTAGTAGAACCTTTTTTGTTTTGATTTCCCAGTTGACTAATGAGACATGATACTACTGCATGGAGAATGGTAAAAGAATAGACGTGTAGAATGTTTAGTTTTTTTTGGTGGCAGTCACTCAGTGGTCTTTCTGAAATATTTTTAACCCTTGTTTTGGTATGATCAGTAGCAACAGAATGATATCTAGAAGTAATTAAGGTAACGAGGTGGGGGGTGGGGGGGCTTAGTTTGATGACTTAACATTTTGTGGTTAAACTGCATTTTGCAGTGGAGGCAATTTCTGTTGACTTCAGACTGCTGTCTGATGTTAACCAAGTCCTCCATTAAGTACATCGGTACTCTAGGCTTTGGCATACCTTGGATTTTTGTAGTGCTCCAGGAACAAACTGTACTTCATAGCATTAAGTTAATGCCATTATATGACAGTTGTACAGTAAAAGCATATTGTTAAAGCATATTGTGCCATACAGTACTAAACACATGACTTTTTACCCGTTTCCACAAAAATCATAGAACATAAGAAATGCCACAGATGATCAGATGCTTGTTTTGTAGTTTGTAGCTGTTTGATATAACAAACCCATCCAGCTATTTGTTGAATGAAGCCAGTTTCAACAACACAGTTGGGCAGCTTGTTCCATACTCTCAATAAAAAATGTTTTGAATAAAACTCTCCGGATTGGAAAAGCTCATCCAGCTGTTTCTTGAAAGAGGCCAGGATATCAGTTTTAAGAACATGGCTGGGTGTCGTGTTCCATATTCCCATGATCTTTTGCGATAAATCATGGTAGTGGTCACAGAGGTGTTATCTGTTGATTATCATTTAAAGTAATGTTTTAACATTGCTGTTTATCTTCAGTTAATAAAGTAACACTTCAACATTACACCAGCACTCTCTGAGAAATCTGTCAGACTAATCTGCTCTTCATTTGACCTGATCCATTACAGACACGGTAACCAACTGCTCAGTATTTTATCATGAGCCCTAACAAATTTGTCATAGAAATAGAAAATACAGAACGCCGTATGTTTCCACTGAAATGTCAAAATATGAATTACTGTATGTGTGGCCAGATCCAAAGTTCTCAAGAGATTGGCTTACTAATAAAAAGGGGCATTTTTGGAACCATTTTGTTGTATAATCTGAATGATGCTAGAATAACTAATGCTACATGTGTGGCCACTTAAGAAAAGCTTTCTCCGTGTTTGACTTGGTTTGCATTTCACCTTGAATATCTCTCATATATTTCCTAGGCCCATGTTTGCTGATTTTGCTTCAATATCCTTATTTATAAATAACAGAAACATTGCACTGCTGTTTACCAGTAAGGATTGAGGCAACATTCATCTGAGTATTAGGAAACAAAAGTCTTTCTTTGCTGGTATTTTCCAGTTAAATCTGGCTCCTTGAGAGTTTCTGCTAATCCAGAGATGCAAATAAACCAACTAGAAGGAGTCTGAAAGCAGTTGGGGATCGTGTTTTTAATTTCATGCTAGTGTACTTGTTATTAGGTTTAGGTGCATAATTGTGATCCAGTTTACAAGTGAAATAGAATAGTCCAAAAAAATGCCTAAAAATGTAGGCAGTTAAAGCTATTTTCCATTGATATGATTTGACAGTTAAGTGAGTAAGCAGTGTGGCAAAATACATTTGTTAAAAGGCAGAATGCTCTGTTTAAGTTTTGGTTGTTCAATGATTACTCCAACCGTCCAATTGGACTGATTGATTCAGTTTTTACCAAGGTGTAGGTATGGAAGATCCCTGCATTTGGTTTTATATGGTACATGACAAGTCTCGATTTTCTCTTCACCCAGGACATAAGAAATGTTTTTGGCCTATTTAGCCTTCCCTTTGTTTGTTACCTGTTTGGTAGTTAGTAGTTGTTTGAGATCAGTTCTCTCATTCAACTTTTTCTTGAAAGAAATTGTGAAAGACGAGTTCCAGTCCTCAGTCTTGTAATACTTGCAGTTATAGTGTAGTGCACTGCACAGATGTCTGATAGATTGCTGCAGCTTCTGTGCATTTGCCTTTCCAGGGACTGACACACTTGATGCAATCTGAATGAAATTCTTAAAATCCTTGGCTTGCAAACTACCATTTGACAGTGCTTCCAGGTACTGTGCACTGCCAGGAAGCTCGTGATCTAGTGGGTGAAGAAGATTGGAATTAACAGGAGACAGGATTAACAACATGGCGTCAGTGGAGGTTGTTATTGTCATGACATAAGATTTGGGTTCCACACAAAACCTTTTTGACTTTGTGTTGTTCCATGTACAGTATAAGCATAGTAGCGAGACAGACAGGCAGACACCCCGAGAGATTCATATGGTCTGTTCTTGTCATATAATCCAGGGGGATGAAGGTCAGAATGGACAAAGCCTAAAAGTGCTCACTGCCCTGACACATGAGGATCATGGTGGACTGTGAAAGTGGACGAATGCCTAGACTTTATTAGAAGCCAGTAGTAAAGCCCTTGATAATTTTGCAGTAGACATCTCTTTTTTTTTCCTTTCATTCAGGTTTTTCTTTTTATTTGTAATGGGGGAAAAAAGAACTTTAAACCTATTACCTAATTTTGGGGAGAAAATGAGCAGGAGCAGAACTGTTTCTGTGTTTTTTTGCTTTAAAAATAGTGATTCCAGTCCTGGACCTCTGTGGATTTTCTTTCCACTTCTACACTTAAGGATTTAATTTATCAAATTGATCATATCTTTAAAAATGCTCAAAAGCATTAAACCAGTCCAATTAAACTAGCAGTGGTTTAATGGTTCATACTGGACTGGTTTAATTATTTTCAAAGTTTTTGAGCATTTTTAAGAGAGCTAGAAAGCCTGCAGCACTGGAGTTGTGCACTTATGCTTTAAAGCTCCAATACCTGTAGATGTGGAAGTTGCTAGTGATCCAAGTTGGCTCATTATGGACTTAATTGGGCCATTAAGGTCTGAACCGCAGTTGTCTCGGGCTAGACACGCCTGGCAAATGCTAACTAACAACGACTTTCCATCCAGAGTGCTTTTCTGCAGTCCTCAATAATGCAGTAGTGATTTTGGATTTAGATGCGTCTTTCTGATGTGAGCAGTGCCTCTCGGAGGTATTTCTAGGGTTTCTAATCTAATTATTGTAGAATTCTTTCCATTTGCAATTTAATTAGACAAAGACCCTGTCAAACTGGGCATGATGGGGCCAACAGAACACAATTTTTGAAAATACAAATCAATGTTGGATACAGATTTAAATAAGGTTTTATGCATCTGCTTTTTCCTTTCTGATGTTTACTGCTTTAGCAGGAAACTACAAGGTCCCCTGAGTGTTAAACTTGTAAAGATCATTCGAAATGGCTAGAGGTGGTGTAGAAAGGCTGATACAGCATGAACTAAAAGTCACAGGAAAGGTATTTTGCCCAATTCCTAGCTTACATGTTAAGAAGATCAAAGTCCTGCACCTACAAAGTTGAAAACAGAGTAATGGAGAAAATGGGGATTACATGCGATTCCATGTCAAATAATCTTCATTTGCAAGTAGTAACCTTTAACTACATTATGTAGCCTTTAGTGCCTATGGTAATTGTGCGTCACAAAAATATACGGTATATAAATTATTTATACATAATGCAGATTAAATTGGGGATTAAACTGGTTTGCGTTTTTCCTACTGAGCTCTTAATCAGTTCAACTTAATGAACCTTTAATCGAACCAACCGATTGATTTTTAGCTTTTTTTTGTAATTGGAGACTTATCATAAGCCGTCGGCTTTATCTGTTATTTCCTAGACATATTGTGAGCTAAATGCTGTTTTAGTGTGTTTTAAAATGTTGAAATGGAGCTCTTCACACACTTGAAAAAGGTTCAACAGCTGAAACATTGTTTATCTTTTCTGTGTTCCATGTGGAATTAACCTGTACATGTATTTTTACAGCTAAATCACATTGATGTAGCTCCCCTTTCAACATATTTTAAGATTGTTGTTCCCCACTTAAAGTACTTTCTCACAATTCTCCTTCTTATTTATCCATTAACAATAACAGAGACAGTGGTTAGAATGACCCTGTTAAACACTCACATAATAGACTTTCTGTGTGCTGCAGGCCCATTGCTTCAATTCAGCCTTTCATGGAAACAATAAACCTACAGTAAGTGAGAGGAGAGCTGAAACCCGCTATGGTTTAGGACTTGAAGTGTTTTCAGGGTTTGATGAGCTGAACTAACAAAGTTCAGCTGTAATGAAAACCAGGAGAAACAGGAGTCATCCTGGACCAGGATTAGGAAACACTGCCTTAAGCACAAAAAAGGGAGGCAAGGAAGTTCAATTTCCAAAGCAGTGTTGCCTGACTTAGGGTCAACGTAGGAGACGGCAACAATGGTAAACATTTAGTAAAAAGCCACTGAAGTGCTCAAATCCATATCTGTGTTTAGAGATCCTTATAATTAAAAAATGCATAAGCATTTTGCACCATGAGTTTGTAGGTTGGTTTGCTGTCAATCAGTTTGACCTGTTTCCATTATCCATTGTCCTAATTTTCATTAGGACATTCATGTTGAGCCAGTGTTTGGATATCTGTTATTCGGTCAATATTGACAGTCAAAATTGCATTGATTGTTTTTTAGCAGTTGTGTGGAGAGTTTTGTGCGAACAAAGAAGTTCTGTATTGTCATGAGCAATAACTAGCTGTTATTTGAGAAGAAAGCTAAATTTGCTATCTGCATAAGGCTTTTAGCTTTAAATTTACCATACGTGAAGTCGGCTAGTAAAAAGTTAGGGGCTTTTTTTGAGAGTGGATAACTGCGTCTAGTGTTCTGCATCTTCCCCTCTCCCAGTTTCAGGATGTAATATTTCCCCTCTGTGTGTTTAGAGAATGCCTGTGTGGGGTTTGCCATTTCCCTGCTGATGTTCACGATCAGTGCCATGATGGTCTACGGGGCCGTTACTGTAAGTACCAAGCGTCCCGATACAGACATCTGTCTGCAAGCCGCTTTCCGTCTAACCTGAAAATTGTCATATCCTCAGTTCCTGTGTCTGCAGCTTGCCTTTCAACACAGATTTTATGTTTGTTTTGATTTCAGGTCGATTCATTGTAGTGTATAAATCTCCAACTCTATTTCTTTTTGCATGGTTCTCAGTTTTGCATAAACAAATATTTTGTTGTGCCTGTTAATAGCTGTATATTAGTGACTTGGATATCGACATGCATTTGAAATGAACCTTATATTCGGCAACCAACAGGGCGAAAAGGAAGCCCTTAATTATTTTGAAAGCATAATTAAAAACTATATACTATGTGTAATGGATCATATTGTGATATAATTAGTCATATTATCAGATGTTTTAAACATGCATCAATAGTTTGCTCTTAAACACATGGTAGTGTAATGAATTCTGCAACCACTGATGACAAATAGTATATTAGTATTTCATTTTCAGGGGACAGAAGATTTTCAGATTAAAGCCCAACACGTTGACCAGATCACCTCATTGCTGTAATGCTGTCTGACTGCCTTCTTGCTTCTCTGCACTGCAAATGATACTGCCTAGGCCTGATTAAATTCAGACTGCCCCTTTGTGTCCATGATAAGCAGTGTGATTGACCCTACCTGTTCTAGACTACACCAAATGCGTCACATTGGTTTGGACACCGTACTTGAAAAAGAACTTGTGCATATATAAATCATACAAACATAAGGCAAATGCTTTGCTGGCCTGATAATTATCTTTCCTTACTTGATATCTTATGACTTACTTACAGTAAGTGTGGTTATTGCCATTGCTGCTTAATTATCGTTATTAATTTAAGTGATGCATTTATCAAAAGCTAAATATATTCAATACAAAATCCATTTTGCACATCTGGCACAGCTGGGTTTGGAGTAATCAGAGCAAAGTACCTTACTCCAGAATACCTGTTCCCAAACCCTAACTACTATTTTGTACTTCTGCTTTACTAACATGTCATTGTGCCATCACTCAAACATTTTTGGGGGGTCAAACTCCTGTCATGTTTTTAACAGTGCTAGTTATTATAGACTTTAAATGCAGCTGCGGTTATCTACAGCTTCTGTACACTGAGGAAGCGTTTGACCACATAACCACATGGTGTGCTGTTATCTCCTATGTCATCATTTAAAGAGTTTATTTTTCTTGATTGAGATACTGTAAGGTTATGTTTTTTTTACGTGTCCTAAAAATATACTAATGAGCTCTGTGTGTCTGTGGAGATTGGGCGTAATATTGCACATATGCTAAAATATCACAATATTAATTCCTAATGTGTAAATCGCTACTAAGGTGCTGATTGGTATTGTCAGCTGTGCAGTGGCCTAAGTCTGTGGCCCTGAATGTGTCAAAGGGGTTGTGTAATACCCTGTGCTTTGGGTCTCAGTGTTGCATTTATGTTCCTGGGCATATATGGGGGTAGTGTGAACACTCTACATGCCTGGGTTTTAATTTAACATTACACTTACTGTGTGCCGACTGAAGAACTGTCCTACTGTTCAATTTCTTAAAAGCCAGCTCAGTTTGGATGAAGAGAAACAGGCTCCTGCTGGTGAAGGCTCTTAAGGCAGTTTGTGTTGCTGTACGCAACTTTGCATATCTTAGCTGCCTTTTAAAGATTCGGCCTACTGATGGAAGGATTTTTGATTGAACTGTGAAGGCTTTTTCTTTCTTGCAGCTGTATGCGATTAGACCCCACTGTATTCCAGACCTGGCTTTGTTCCCATGTGATAAATGCCTTTGGGTTGATGGGGTACAACAGTTAGGATAATCTTTGAAATCCAAATTAAAAAGCGGTGCTCTCCCTAGTCTTTAACATGCATTTTTTTTCTTTTGCACAGCATCGGGATGGATGGTTAATTCCTTTCTTCTGCTACCAGTTGTTTGACTTTGCCCTGAGCTGTCTTGTGGCCATCAGTTCCCTTACATACCTTCCCCGGATCAAAGACTACCTGGACCAGCTGGTAGGTTTTTGCCTTAGTTGTTGAAGTGTAGGTCCAAAAAGGGCCTCAATCGTTCTGTAAACTCCATCATTCCGTGTTATACTTGTGCCATTATTTGTGGTTTCCAACCGAATTGTGATAAATACCTGTATGTCTGTGTTGACCCAATGCTCCCAGTGTTGTAGACTATGTGGACATTGGTCTGCAACTGAAATGTCACAAATGTCCCTTTGAAATAAACTGCTTATTCTTGCTGTCTTTCATTCAGCCTGACTTCCCCTACAAAGACAACCTGCTGTCCCTGGACTCCAGCTGCCTTCTGCTCATCGTCCTGATCTTCTTTGCCTTTCTCATCATCTTAAAGGTAAATGATGGGTGACTGTCTCTTTAGTTTGGTTGGCATTCAAAATCAGTTTCACTGATGTTATAGTAATTGGAGGCTTCCAGTTGAGTTGTTGTTTTTGTCTGTGGTACACTAGCAATATGCATGTACCAAGACTTTAAACTCTGTGGGTGTGCCTAGTGATGTCCTAGTCTTGATATCATAATGCTTTTTTTTTTCTTTTATCTTTGTGCATTTACTGCCACTCCTGACTTCAGTGTCTTTATAAATATTTTTTTTCGTTCTTTAAGTGTTGTAAGGAGTATTCTGTTGTAGATATTTTTACGCTCTTGAGTATGAATTTGGTAGAACTGTATGCTGCTCTTAGAATACCAAAAAGGCACCTTCAGCTGTTATGTTAGGCTATAGCACCCCCTTACCCCCTTAAGTACTGACTTAACTTCTGCCATCTTATTTGACAAATCTGTTGTTTTTTCCGTTCCTTTTGTTATTGGCGGCGTTGGTTTTTCTTTTCCCCGGGGGAAGGCTTTGTTGGATTCCTTTTTTTTTCACCAAAAGTTTGATTAGGCTAGGTTATACATACTAGCATCAGATTAAAAGATGCTTCCATTCTACAAATGTGACTCCCATAGGAGGTTAAAACAGCTGATATCCTGAATAATGCTGCTACATTTTCATCCACAACTGAGTGTAAGTTGAGCTGTTCCTGAGCAGTTCTGCATAATTTCAGAGACTGTTTTGTCATTTTCATCTATAGTACAAGCTGTGCATTAGGTCCACAATAGACTGACAAAATAATGCTGTGACAACAGTATGACATAGGTCTACATTTTTTTTCCCAGCTTTTCCATCTTTATGAGCTATTAGGCTCAGTGAGTATCTAGATTTTAGGCATTTATAGCAAAACAGTGTTCTTGGCCTACATTTGAGAAACATCTTTAGAATTCCCACATGTAGTTCACTGTTCGACACTGCTAGACTGATATAGTTCTAGTTCACTGTGTAATGCTCTTGTCTTCCAGGCATACCTGATTAACTGCGTGTGGAACTGCTACAAGTACATCAACAACAGGAACTTGCCAGAGATTGCGGTTTACCCTGCATTTGAAGCTCCCCCTCAGGTACAGTGAAACCAGTTGCTGCCACCCAACCTCCTGCTTTCAAAACATTTTTTCAACTGGCACCTAAGGCTATGTTTTCCAAAATACATTTAAACTATGTAGGGTGTAGTATATCAGCAGATTGCCATACAGAATAAATGCAGGTCCTATTTGACAGATTTGTTTTAAAAATTAACATTTAGCCTTAACTATCTTAGAAAGCTGAAAAGGACAGTGATCTACAATTGATTAAGTTAATGTATTGGAGAAACCAAATTCTCTGCAGTTCATGAATATTCATAGTAATCAAAGCACTTTAATGGAGATTAGTATTACATCTTGCTAGCCCATAACTAATCTGTAAGCTTTTTCCAGTATGCTTGCACTTTATGCATTTACATGTTTATTTCTTGTGAGTTCTCAACTAAATAACTGAGGTTTTCACAGCAAAGGAAGGCAGATGGGTGCCTGAAACTAAACAAAATCCTGCTTACTCCTGTGAGCAGAGTGATATAATGACCAGTGGAAATTAGAAAAGTAGAGCAAAACTACAAATGAGCAACACAATATGACTGGTTTTAACACAATGCTTCTGTATTATGTTTCAACATTGTGTGACGGATGGTTCTGCTTCTGGCTGTCTTTGCAGTACGTTCTGCCCACATATGAAATGGCAGTGAAGATGCCCGAGAAGGAGCCCCCACCTCCCTACATGCCAGCCTGAAATGCCAGCAGCGGAGCGTACACAGTCTGAACCAGCTTGTTCTAACCTTGCAATACCTTTTTAGAGACTAGGGACATCCAGGGATATCCTCTAATCTTTAAACTCCAGCAGTGTAGGAACTGAGGGAGGAGGAGTTTGATTTATTAAAGCAGTGTGACAGGGAAGGGAAGCTGCGATAACGTTTAGGAACTTTTTATCTTCTTTTCCTATTTGTTCTTGATGTCTTAGTGTAAAGCTAACCGAACACTAATATTGCCTGAATTTTGATCATGAAGTATATTTTTAAAAATCCTTCCTTAAATATTTATAGGTTTTGAAAATCTCATTAGACAATCTTTTCAGCATTTTAGTAACGCCATATTTTCATTTTGTGGATCGATACAAGACTGGCTTTATTTAAGATTGTTGTATGGTAAAGGATCTTTTATTATTTTGCACTTTCTCCATGTGTATTCAGCCTTTGTGTGTGTTAATGTGCCATGTGGATTTTTTGATGCCTTTTGTTGTTTTCTGTTGTACGTTTCAAAGCAGAAAGGGGTAAGGAGGTGTTGACGCAAAGCGGGGAAAAACTTTTGGCAAAATTGGAGGAGAGATGATGGATGCATGCTTTTTCCTTTGTACATGTTTTGCTCCTTGTGGGGAAAAAATGGCTTCAATAAATGATTAGAAAAGTTTTTAATCATCCCCAATTCATCTGTTCAGTCTTTGTTTCTGTGTGAAAATATGCCAGGTATTTTTAATCAAATGTCTTCAAATAGTTACACAGTAATAATTT